TCTAAAGCTTTTGTTGGATTTCTTGGTTCATCACCAAATGGAGCAGAGCCCACTCCAGCGTCGTGGCGCTCGTATCCGTCCCGGCATTGATGACCTCCGAGCAAAGGGTGACAAGCTCTTCCTCCCCCAACCGTTGAGCTCTTCCAGGCACCTCCAGCTCAAACAAGGAGTCAATATAAGCAGCCCCCTTGGGGCTCACCATATTACCATCACTACTTTGATTAGCTTGAACAAATGTTTTTCTGTTTCTTATGAGTGGAACCAAACACTCCAGTTGCCTCCTCCTCAGCTCCTTAGCTTCTCTCACCTGCCGGCGGAACAACGGAGTGAGGACCGGCAGAAAGTCCGGGAGCTTCGGTGTGGTCATCATCATAACGTCCTTTAAAACGGTCTCAATCGTTTTGATTTTCTCCTCGGAGATTTTTGCCCCGAAGCACAAGCATATGAGGATGCTGCAGATGGTAAGCCTGCAGTTGCTGATGACGTGGACAACGCGGCCGTTGTTGTCTGCAGCCGCCTCTGATTTGAGCCTGTCCATATGGGAGTGGATAGCCCATTTTCGGATCCAACTGCACTGCCTAATCCTGGGCGGGCTGATCAACTCGGTGACGAAGTTTCGGCGCAAGGTGCGCCAGACAGGGCCGTACTCGGCGGAGTTGATGGCGCACTTGCCGACGCTGAAGAGGAGGCGGATGGGGGAGTCAGCGGGGCGGCTTGCGAACTCGGGACCTCTCTGGACGAGGCCTTCGTGGATGAGATCGGAGCTGGTGACGATGATGAGAGTGCGTTGCCCCATTTGCATGCTGAAGATGGGACCATATTTTGCACGTAAATCACGGACTACAAAGATGAAGGGCCGACGCTGGAGGATGACTTGGATCAGGTTTCCCACCACTGGCCAACCTGGCGGCCCCGGGGGCAGATTCCTCCGTCCTCCGCCAGTCACCGACCAGTAGCGCCACCAGAGCAGGAGAAACACGAGCCCCAAACACAGGAACAAGATGTCCATTATCATCTCCATAGATCACTACGTAGCTTAGCTGCTTAGCTATATATGCAATATATGTAACAAATAAAAAGCAACAACTTAATCAGCTCAACCAATAAATAATGTAATGACTTTAGACGACGTACATATCATTAAGTCTCATGCAACATGTGACACCCTTCACTTCTCACCCAAAATAACTCTATATGTATAGATCTAGAGAGCAACTTCTCAGTAGCCAAAAACATAAAAACAAAAAACTCAAAGAAATAAATTAAATATAAACCTCCTAAAACGAAGAAAAGCTAAATGGAGCAACTGAGAGGAAAATAAATGAAGAGAAGAAGAATGTAACAAGTTTGTAACACAGCAAGCAAAAGCAAAAGCTGTATAACAAAGCGTCCTCAAAATCAAAGAAAAGCTTACGACGCTTAAAGCAAAAACTACGAGAGAGAGAGAGATGTGCTTGAAGTTGCAGACTAGATACCTTCGGCGCAGCGCAGGAGCTCAATTTTGGAGCGCACACAGTCTCTCTCCAGTTAAAAGCAGTTTTTTTTATTTCCTTTCTTGTGAATCAAGACCATAGAAGACTAGTTAGCAGTCCATCTCATAATCTCTAGGATTTGTATGGTTTGTTGGAGATCATAAATGGAGATTCACCTACTCATTTTACGCCACCTGCTGCTGATTTCAACTGGTCAAACAGCTTCACGCGTTCTTCTGCGATTGCGTCCTCCCTTTTCTGACAGCAATGAATTCCATTGGTTGGTCTGGTGAAAGTGTCATTACTTAGGGCATCTCATTTAGAGCTAGGGTTCTATGATGTATTTTGATTTGTGCATTTTTCTTTTAACTTATATTATGTTCATGTATTTTATGCGATGTTAATTTTTTTTTTTCTCATTTATGATCATTTTAACAACAAAATAATCAAATTTATATGAGATTCCGGAACAACAAACACATATAAACACTTTAATTTGTTTGGTAATTGCATAAATTAGAGATCATTATTATTCTATTATACTCTGGCTTGTGAACTAGTTCCTATATAAAGAGATAAATGTCAGTTTCATGCTTGCATTACATAGCCTCTTTGCACGCGCGACACTCGGTTCCGAGCCTGCAAGAGGCTTATTTTAAAAAAATTTAAATTTATTTTAGTTAAAAAAGATAATTGGTAATTGTGTTCCATAAAAATAGAATCCATTATCTGATTTTCTTTTAATTTTAATTTTTTTAAATATGAAAAAGTGTGAATTTACCATATTATCCTCATTTAATTAATAATTTCAATTCTTAATGCTTGTATTAACCAATGACATTTTCTGGTATTTTGAATATTTTACCATTCTCTGCATTTTGCTTTATATATATAGATTAATGCGAAATCAGTTAGTTCAAAAGATTCACTCTTCATATCAATTCCAATGTTAATGCTCTGGTTTTGGGATAGGTGGTGGTGTCTTGTTTATCTTCTTCTCTTTTTTTTTTGCCAAATTTAGGAAGGGGGAGGGCTTTTCTCACACACTATTAAGACGTCGTTTATCAGTTTCGAAAAAATTTCAATAACTTTTCATATTTGATATTAAAATCGAAGATGGGTTGCATAACTTCAGATCCATGGTCAAGCCCATTTGGTTGTTGGGTTTGTGTCTAAACCCAAACCTTGGCGGCTTTTGCCTCTTGGCCAATTGGAGAACCCGCCACCTTGCTCTTAACATCAACCGTTGATTTTCTATGAAAAATAATGAGAACCGCAAAGTCACCGTCCGCTTATACAAAATGAGATAATGCGATGACAATCAAAATAGTCAAACACATTTCGCTTCCACTCCTTCGCCCAGTCTCTCACTTCACCGGTCTCTCCCGCCTCTGCCTCCGCCGTTCGATGGCCACCGCGACGTCATCCGACTCCACCGTGAGCCCATCAAACACCCGGGTGGGGTGGATCGGCACCGGCGTTATGGGCCGGTCCATGTGTACCCACCTCCTCAAAGCCGGCTACTCCCTTACCGTCTTCAACCGCACCCTCTCCAAGGCCCAGCCCCTCGTCGACCTCGGGGCCCACCTGGCTCACTCCCCCAACGCCGTCGCCTCCCAATCGGACGTCGTCTTCTCCATCGTCGGCTACCCCTCCGACGTCCGCTCCGTCCTCCTGGACCCCACCACAGGGGCCCTCTCGGGCCTCCGACCCGGCGGCATCCTCGTGGACATGACCACCTCCGAACCCTCCCTCGCCGTCGAGATTTCCTCGGCCGCCGCCGCCAAATCCTGCTTCTCAGTCGACGCTCCCGTCACTGGCGGCGACGTCGGCGCCAAAAACGGAACTCTGGCGATCCTTGCCGGCGGGGACGAAAACGTCATCCTCAAGCTAGCACCTTTATTTGCTCTCATGGGTAAAGTTAATTACATGGGTGGCAGTGGAAAAGGGCAGTTCGCGAAGCTAGCGAACCAGATAGTCATAGCCTCAACCATGGTGGGTCTGGTGGAGGGCATGGTCTTTGCTCACAAGGCTGGTCTCGATGTGGGTCTGTTCTTAAATGCGATCAAAGTGGGTGCGGCT